GAGATTTAAAAGTGCATAGCTCCAGTGGCGTCCTAATATCGGAAGGAAGAGCATTCCAGACGGCCGCGGAAACGCATCCGAGAGCGCAGCGATGCAGCGATCGTCTTTGTTCGATGCTTTTATGGCGTGATCTGTCTTCGTTGTTGGTTGTAAAGGGTGCGGTAACTCCCACTAAGTTCTAGATGTTCGGCGAGCGTGATAAGAGTCACTGGCGGAGCCAGTGGGGGGTGGCACGTGCCCCCCCAATGATCCGTTTGAAATCCCTAATTTCGATCGGATCATTGGTGTTTATTAATAATAAATCGGCATTTTACGACCCCCACTGCCACTGTGTAGCATATTATTACGTGCTAGGGACTCTATGAGATGATAGGACAATAGTTTGAGTCCATAATTGGCAATAAGTAACGACAAAGGAGTTATAAGTGGCTCACAGAATTGTGCACAGTTGTGTATACAGCGCACGACTTCCCTGAAGGCATTCACCTTCAGCGAGCGCGATGCCGATCACACAACGCGGTTCGAATTCGACCCTCGATCGATGGCTGCGCCATCGCCGCACACGCGTCAAATAAAAAGCAAGGGACAAGTCCTCACTTACTAACAACTCCTCTATCATTTTTCATTAACCCCCCCCCACCCCCACACCGTACATATTTTATAATAGGTGACGTTTCGGGCAACAGCCCTTCGTCATAGCTGAGAACATACTTGTGTTTTTTTATTGTTGTTCAAAGGGCTATATGATTTGTAGGTCTGAAACGTCGGACACCCCGCGGTTAAACCCGAACACGCAGCAAGTAGCACGTGCTCGGATTGATGTGTTCCTTCATTTGCTGAAGTTTTTATGTATTTAACTTTTCTCATCTCTGGCGAACCAGGTTCACTGTTGCAAATAAAACGTTTATCCTGGTCTCCCTGAGTTTCTCACATTTGTTAAGCAAAATGAACGTGACCACTTCACCCACTCGCTCATCCACTCACCCATTCACTCGTTCACTCACGCACGCTCTCATTCATTCACCTACTCATTCACTCACTCATCCACTCATTCACTCACTTACGCATCCTCTCATTCACTCACCCACTCATTCACTGAACCTCTCACCCGTCCACTCATTCACGCACTCACCCACGCCACCCTCTCATTCACTCACCCACTCACTCATGAACTCAACCTCTCACCCATCCACTCACCCACTCATTCACTCACTCACCCACTCATTCGCTCACTCACCCACTCATTCACTCACCCTCTCACTCGCCCACTCATTCACTCACTCAACCACTCATTCACTCACTCACTCATTTACTCACTCACCCACTCATTCACTCACCCACTCATTCACTCACTCACTCATTCACTCACTCACTTACTCACCCACCCACTCGCTTCATCACGAACCCGCTCTTGCAAATGAGACTCCTCTCCTCGTCTCTTTCGAGTTTTCTCAACCCGGGTTAAACGCAAAATCAACTGTCACTGGAATCTTTATTTAGACTCCAAGAGGAATCCGATGAGCTATGAAGCTCTTTCTTCACAGATGTTCCAGTATGGGTGGGTCAGCAAGTTACAACAGCAAAATAAAAACAAAAAGATAATAAGTTGTAACATAGAGAAAGGAGTAAACAAGTCACTAAGTAGAAGTAAATAATAAAAGTAAAATGTATCAAGCTTGGGCGAGGCAGCAATAACACCGACAAAACAGTTCCACACCACACCAAGATAACACACACAGACGCAGTCCCTCAATTAAAAATACAACCCATTAACATTGAACTATCGATGCTGCCCGGCCTAAGGGGTCAACTTGGGAGGATCGGAGGGAGGCTTCAATGCGCGTTGTGGTGGCTCTCACCGTCCTCCTCGGTCGAGGCCGCCGCGGACACGAATCCAGCAGCCAGCAGTGGTCCCAGGGCCCACAGTGCGGCCACCACACACACCGAGCTGCCCGCCATGCACGCGGCGTGGGTGGGATGGCCCGGCGTGGAGGGAGGAGGAGGATGGTGGTGGTTGATGGTTGGTGGTGGTGGTTGATGGTGGTGGTTGGTTGATGGTGGTTGATGGTGGTGGTAGTTGATGGTGGTGGTTGATGGTGGTGGTGGTTGATGGTTGTGGTGGTTGATGGTGGTGGTGGTGGTTGATGGTGGTGGTTGATGGTGGTGGTGGTTGATGGTTGTGGTGGTTGATGGTGGTGGTGGTGGTTGATGGTGGTGGTTGATGGTGGTGGTGGTTGATGGTGGTGGTTGATGGTGGTGGTTGATGGTGGTGGTGGTGGTTGATGGTGGTGGTTGATGGTGGTGGTTGGTGGTGGTGGTGGTTGATGGTGGTGGTTGATGGTGGTGGTTGATGGTGGTGGTTGATGGTGGTGGTGGTTGATGGTGGTGGTGGTGGTTGATGGTGGTGGTTGATGGTGGTGGTTGATGGTGGTGGTTAATGGTGGTGGTGGTGGTTGATGGTGGTGGTGGTGGTGGTGGTTGATGGTGGTGGTTGATGGTGGTGGTGGTGGTGGTTGATGGTGGTGGTGGTGGTTGATGGTGGTGGTTGATGGTGGTGGTGGTGGTTGATGGTGGTGGTGGTGGTTGATGGTGGTGGTTGATGGTGGTGGTTGATGGTGGTGGTGGTGGTTGATGGTGGTGGTTGATGGTGGTGGTTGATGGTGGTGGTGGTGGTTGATGGTGGTGGTTGATGGTGGTGGTCTCGCGGGTCGTGGTAGTCGTAGTCGGCAGTCCACGGAGGTCACGTGGAAATCAATGGAATCCTCCAGAGGACAGACGAACATCCAAACCTGTGCTCTTGTGCAAGTCTTGGGGGTGATGATGGGGAAGTGGGTGGTTGCTCTATTTGGCGAAAATTATTTTAAAATAATGATAACGCTTGTGGAGCACAGGGCCCAACTTTGCAAAGCACCGAGCGGCCAGCAACAAACAGCACTACTCCCGTATTAAAGTTGTAATTGACAAGGGTTGCGAATGCGATTCTTCAAGTTGAGCACCAAGGTTGTTGCTAATATTAGTATTGTTATCGCTGGAAAGACTTGGGGGGAGAGAATTCAAAAGCCGAGCAGTTGCGAGGGAAGAAGCAGAAAAAGAAGTGTTGGGAGCTGCAGTGTGGTGAGTTGAGTGGACGAGTGAGTGGGTGAGTGATGTGACCTGCAGTGTGGTGGTGGTGGTTGAGCGCAGTGTGGTGAGTTGAGTGGACGAGTGAGTGGGTGAGTGCTGTGACCTGCAGTGTGGTGGTGGTGGAGCACAGTGTGGTGAGTTGAGTGGACGAGTGAGTGGGTGAGTGATGTGACCTGCAGTGTGGTGGTGGTGGTGGAGCACAGTGTGGTGAGTTGAGTGGACGAGTGAGTGGGTGAGTGCTGTGACCTGCAGTGTGGTGGTGGTGGAGCACAGTGTGGTGAGTTGAGTGGACGAGTGAGTGGGTGAGTGATGTGACCTGCAGTGTGGTGGTGGTTGATCACAGTGTGGTGAGTTGAGTGGACGAGTGAGTGGGTGAGTGCTGTGACCTGCAGTGTGGTGGTGGTGGTGGAGCACAGTGTGGTGAGTTGAGTGGACGAGTGAGTGGGTGAGTGCTGTGACCTGCAGTGTGGTGGTGGTGGTGGAGCACAGTGTGGTGAGTTGAGTGGACGAGTGAGTGGGTGAGTGCTGTGACCTGCAGTGTGGTGGTGGTGGAGCACAGTGTGGTGAGTTGAGTGGACGAGTGAGTGGGTGAGTGCTGTGACCTGCAGTGTGGTGGTGGTGGTGATTGAGTGCAGTGTGGTGAGTTGAGTGGACGAGTGAGTGGGTGAGTGCTTAATCTGCAGTGTGGTGGTGGTGGTGGTGGTTGAGCACAGTATGGTAAATTGAGTGGACGAGTGAGTGGGTGAGTGATGTGACCTGCAGTGTGGTGGTGGTTGATCACAGTGTGGTGAGTTGAGTGGACGAGTAAGTGGGTGAGTGCTGTGACCTGCAGTGTGGTGGTGATTGAGCACAGTGTCGTGGATGACACAAGACAGTCCGTGTCTGGTATAGACCCAAGCCCTGAACACGAGTGGAGGAATCAACGAGCGAAGCACCGAGGGAACGGTCACCCCGACTGATGGCAGCGATACAAGAGTGACGAAGAGGCGCCCGTGAGCGAGCAAGCGACCGGAGTGACCCAGCGAAGGCTGAACCATACGTGGGCTAAAGATGATTATTATGATGTCCGCGATGATGGTGGTGGTGGTGGTGGGTACGCTGAAGGTGGTGATGGGGGGGGGGGGTAGATGAAGGAATACGCTCGTGGTTTGCGGTTCCTCTGTGTTTATCTCGCTCGCAAAACCTCAGGGCACACTTTGAAAAAAAAGCACACGCACGCGTGCTCGCGTCTCTTTACCCGGTGTCATTGTTCAGCGACTTCGCGGCCTATTCGGACCACGTTGCCATGTCGCGTGTGTGCGACACGGACGTTCATCGCTCGTTGCAGACGTTCGCGGTTCGAACCCAGCGGGGCGCCACGGTGGCGAAATGTTAACTCCCTTTCCTGGTATACAGGAGGTCGTCGGTTCAATATTTGGAGTTTGCAGGTCTCTCTGCCCGTGGTCGCGTGGAACACGCGTTTAGAGTGTTTGGCTGCTATCAACTTCCACGCGATAAGCCACTTCGTTGAGATATTATTTGCGGCCACGTCGCTTCTGTAAAGAGCTATATAGCTCAGTGGGCCTTACCTGGTAACATACCAAATTGTTTTTAGTTATGTACGTTGGTGGATCACGTGGCCCAGAAGTTGCAGTACAGAAAGTAGGTGCGTGTGTGTGTGCGCGTGTGTGCGTGTGTGTACACACGTGTGTGTGTGTACACGTGTGTGTGTGTGCGTGTGTGTGCGTGCGCGTGTGTGTGTACACGTGTGTGTACGTGTGTGTGTGCGCGTGTGCGTGCGTGCGCGTGTGTGTGTGTACACGTGCGTGTGTGTGCGTGTGTGTACACGTGTGTGTACACGTGTGTGTGTGTACACGTGTGTGAACACGTCAGTGCAACGGAGCTTTCAGCGGAATGATGATGATAACGATCGTGATTGCGAAGCTTACGCAGATTACTGTGACGATGTTGTTGATTATGTTTACGGTGAAAATAGTTGTGGTTAATGACGACGCTTGGATAAATGATAGCGATGATAATGATGATTGTGATCACAACGACGTGGTCACAGTTATGATAATGATGGCAATGACGATAATGACGATCATGAAAGCGATTGCAGTGATAATGATGATCAAATCACGCTGATTATAATTCGGATTAGCGAATGACGACTACCGTGACAAGGATTGTGACGACGATGACAATGATGATAACATTGACCATGATAAAGATTGTGACAACGATGACAATGATGATGAGCCGATGACGATCATAACGAGAATTATGATGATCACAATTATGACAATGGATGTGATGACAATGCTTATGATGATGACAATGATGACAATGATCACGATGGCGATGTTGACGATGATGTGTGGTCTGAGTGAATTCTACCCCTCCCACCCATCCCCCCCTGCCAGTGAGTGACAGTCCCATCAGCACACGTGCTTCCTGCACCGCTAATCACGGAGCCGCACACGCACGCGTGAGGTCTGGGGCTGGCTTGGGGCTTTCACATCAAAATCTTGAGTCGTGGTTGAAGTGTCTGGGGGGGAGGGGGTGAAGGGGGAGGTGGGGGTAGGGGAGGAATGGAGCGGTGGGGCGAGGGGGGTTTGGGGAAGCCGGTGTACGATTATAAACACGAAGGGCTTGTCTCATGCGGCACAAAACATACGTTATAAGAAATAAAAATTAGTAAAAATAATAAATGGCAGTTCCACCTGATGACGGAAGCTTGTGTTGCCTCCGAAACGTCGTGATTTAATTTAGTTATTTAAATTTTATTATTTTTACTATTATTTATATTTTTCATCTACGTGACTTTACCGAAAGAGCCAAAGAGTATGGATCATTGCAGTAACGAAAACTTCAAATCTAGAATACGTTATAAGCTGGAGTGTGTTCACCATGCTTCGCTCGCAGTGGACGTTAAAGATCCCGTGGCGTAATTCGCAAGAGCTGTGCCATCGTGTGCCGACGCCACGGTCCAAACTTGCCAAATGCAAACAGGTTGCCTGCAAACTCCTCATTTGGGATTACTCAAGCATACACGTAGCAAATCACACCACCGACTGGCAGACTAGCCCCTGCTTACAAGGCAGATACAGACTCATATTCTTAGGAGTGAGTGAATTAGTGTATGACTGGGTAAGTGGGTGGATGCGTGAATGAGTGAATATGCTCGTGAATGAGTGGGCGAGTGAGTGCATGCAGGAGTGAGTGAATTAGTGGATGACTGGGTAAGTGGGTGGATGCGTGAATGAGTGAATATGCTCGTGAATGAGTGGGCGAGTGAGTCCGTGCAGGAGTGAGTGAATTAGTGGATGACTGGGTAAGTGGGTGGATGCGTGAATGAGTGAATATGCTCGTGAATGAGTGGGCGAGTGAGTGCATGCAGGAGTGAGTGAATTAGTGGATGACTGGGTAAGTGGGTGGATGCGTGAATGAGTGAATATGCTCGTGAATGAGTGGGCGAGTGAGTCCGTGCAGGAGTGAGTGAATTAGTGGATGACTGGGTAAGTGGGTGGATGCGTGAATGAGTGAATATGCTCGTGAATGAGTGGGCGAGTGAGTGCATGCAGGAGTGAGTGAATTAGTGGATGACTGGGTAAGTGGGTGGATGCGTGAATGAGTGAATATGCTCGTGAATGAGTGGGCGAGTGAGTGCATGCAGGAGTGAGTGAATTAGTGGATGACTGGGTAAGTGGGTGGATGCGTGAATGAGTGAATATGCTCGTGAATGAGTGGGCGAGTGAGTGCATGCAGGAATGAGTGAATTAGTGGATGACTGGGTAAGTGGGTGGATGCGTGAATGAGTGAATATGCTCGTGAATGAGTGGGCGAGTGAGTGCATGCAGGAGTGAGTGAATTAGTGGATGACTGGG